ACCAGCTTTTTTCCCGGTTCAGCATTCTCCCTCCAGTGGATTCACAGGCTGGTCGAGTCAAGGCAAGCGCCGAAGCCGCGCGCGGAAGCTGAGCGTGCGGTATCCGTTCCGAGGAAGCCCTTCCTATCGGTCGGCGTACCCATATCCTTTCTCCATTTCCTTGTTTGGCACCTCCAAACGCGGCAATTTCAATGCAAACCAACAAATTGCAGCCTTCCTCATGGGCTCTTACAGGGTGTCCTTCCTCGATTTCCCTTTTTGGCACCTCCAAAAGTGGCGATCGTTTCAATGCAAACCAGCAAGTTGATCAAATTGTGACGGTGAAATCCAGTGATTTCTGATACGTGTCCTTTTGATCGATTGGTTTGGACAGAAATAGGGACGGGCTCCACTGCGGAGATGTTCTGTGTTTTGTGTGTGTGTGTGTGGGTGGGTGCGTGCGTGCGTGCGTGCGTGCGTGCGTGCGTGCGTGTGTGTGTGTGTGTGTGTGAGTGTAAGTGTAAGTGTAAGTGTAAGTGTAAGTGTAAGTGTAAGTGTAAGTGTAAGTGTAAGTGTAAGTGTGTGTGTGTGTGTTTGTGTGTGTGTGTGTAAGTGTGTGTGTGTGTGTAAGTGTGTGTGTAAGTGTGTGTGTGTGTAAGTGTGTGTGTGTGTGTAAGTGTGTGTGTGTAAGTGTGTGTGTTTGTTTTTTTTTCCCGTGGACGGCACGCATTTCGCGGTACTCGTGATTTGTTGTACCCCCAGGGGTGGACCGCTGGCTTTGAGAGATCAAGATGGGCAGAACTTGACTGCTATGGGGTGGTGCTGGCTGGTTTGGACGGGGCCGCGCCAAAACCCAAATCTGGGCTCCCTTACAGTAGATCTATTTTGAGATCAGCATGCTGACCAGAACCAGTGGTGGGCCAAACAAGCTGAGGTAGGAGTGGGATAGCTTGACTGCTGTTGGGCAACAGATCTCTAGACTTTAACTTTTTGGTTGAAATCAAGTCTTTTTTTGCGTACTAAACGCCCCAAAAAGTTAAACTTTTTGCAGGGGGGTCAACAGCAACCAAGAGAAGTACTTGAAGCTTCCGGGAAAGTATTAAGTGTTTGGACCATTTGAGAAGCCCCGTATCAGCAACGGACATGATAAACCAAGGTTTCAGGGACCCCTCAACCGGTTGGTTGCATTTTTTTGCCTTTTCCAACCATCCAAAACCGAGTTTATTTGTTTCGACTCAGGCCCATGTTGCTAACTTTATCGAGTATTCATGTTTGCCATAGAACCCTCGCACGTGAGGCACCTCCCTCGGCAAAAAGTTGTGGACCTTTGAGAAGTCCCTTCGCAAGAAGGTTCGGGTTTGTCTCTGAATAAGGGCCTCCCTTTTGTTTGCTTCTTGTTTCCCTTTGGTTCCCCGTTAAGCCACCTGGGACGCCTAAGGGTAACCCAAAGTACCCCCCAACTACTGCTTTTTGGATTGTGATTTGGGACATGGACGAGAGCAGTTGCAAGTTTGGGGGTGCTCATCCCCTACCCAAACAAGACGCACCCGTCTGGCCTACTTTCGCCTGGCTCCAGCGGCTCGTCCCTCCGGGGCTGCCGGACTCCCGGCTGGCGAGAGTTCGCATGGCCGTGCGAGGCGGGGAGTTCAGAAAAAATGGAGGGAACGATGCATGGAAACTCCCAGTGCCCTTTCTCACCGTTTCTTTTTTGGTTGGGAGATCCGGTTCCCCTAAAATAGACCACAGAAAAACATGTGTACCCTTATTCTAACCTCTCTACTGGAGGACCTAGGAAACGCCCGGCCTAAGACTTGCGGGTGATCAGTAGGAATGAGAGTTGGAACGAACCGGATGTTTTTTGAAACCATAGTTTTAGATGGAATCGCTTTCACGACCGGAAATATTGTAATTGTTTCCATGGGGCGAACCAGCAAATGAAAGCTAAGAAGTTTATCTTTTAATCAGCTGAAAGCTATGGGGTCGATAGGCCCCAAATGAACTCTGGTAGGTGCTTTGGGGCTTTCAGGGAAGGTTCCAGGGCTTTTGGGGGTAGGGTCAGGGGGTTCAGGGGCAGTTGGGGGTACCTGGGCTTATTTGAAGAGCCTCCCCCGTGGTTTTCCTTTTGGTCTCCCTCTAAAACCACAAAAAAAGGCAGCTTCTAAAAGGAAGACACCCTAAACCCTTGGTTGATTTTGATTGCCGGTGTGCACCTTTTTCTGTGGTTCAGACGAGGGGAACCCCCCTATTTATAGGATGGTTTATCAATCTCAGGTCAGCATCAGACCTGATTTGGATGAGGGACTCCTTGGTTGGGCGAAACATACAAAACAAAGACTATCCTCATGATAAATCCCTTGACATGCTCAAGTTCAGGGAGGGACCCCGAACAAAAAACGGCAAATCAAGGGTAGGTCAAAAAAAACCTTATGCGTTGGGCCAGGTGTTCATTTTTCGGTTGGTGCTTGAAAGTACCTGTCTCCATGACCCGTAAATCGGGTCACCTACCAAAAATAAGAAAAGCTAAAAATCGGGTCGAAAATTGGTCCTGGATGTATTACCACCCTAAGCATCATTGGACCCTCCATTGAAGCCGGGTCAGCCTCCAAAAGTGCCTGTTTTAGGGCCAAGATCCTTGGGCAGGGATGCCAAAATTGCGGCAGGCGATTGGTGGACATGAATCCCCACCCAGATGATGTCCACAGGGTTTGCGACCCATTCAAAGTCACACCATGTCACACCCTTGCGTTCCGCCCTTCTGATCGATTCGGTTGCCTCCTGCGAAGGCATCTTGAGGTTCGGGAGTGTCTTGAAGGGGGCTCTGACAAATATACCGGCAGCCTTTAATTGGTGGTTTTGATTTGAGCCCCTTGTATAGGGTATATGGGGGCCGTCCGTAATTGCATGTCTAAAATTTATGAACAGCGACAACTTGTTGAACCGGGCGATTGGGAAAACTCGCGAAAGGCCGGCGATTGGACCGCGAAAGGGCAACAAAATTATTGTGAATTTAGACGCTGCATGGAATTTAGATTGGTGCCAACACACGTCTCACTCATTTTGACTGCACGGGCTTGCACAAAAGCTCCTCCTGGAAAGCTGAATGTTGATTTTGTCTGCGCAGGCCCAGGCTGTGGTTTCTAAATCTGCTTACTGGCAAAGGCTGGAAGGCGCAAATTCCGCGATTGGACCGATTGGACGGCGATTGGACGAGTTTCACCAGTGAGCCCCTGCCCATCCGAGCTATGTTACTTCCTTCGGGATAGTAGAAGGCCACAATGAGACAAGAAAGGCAAAGACAGAAGCAGCAACGGTGACCAACGTTGCTCCGCAATTGGCCTCTGTGGGATCGCGATTGGATCGCGATTGGCCGGCGATTGGGGGGGTTCCCAGGCAAAGCAATTTTGTACAACCCCCATATATATGGGGAAATCCAACTCACACGAAACCACTGATTTGGCTCCAAGCCAGCTTTTTCGAGGGAACCTGAAGGATTGTCCAGTGGCACTGCATCTATGAGCCTTTTTATAGTTTAGTTGATCCAACTTTTTCAGCTTTCTCACCCAGAATTTTGAGGTCTTTAGTTTGATATATGAGTAACATATACATGCATGCATCTGTATTATAATTTATAACTATATAATATCTATACATTAATCCGTTTGTTGCGGGTTTCCCTTTCGAGTCGCCTCAGTTTCGCCTCCATTGAGGCGGCGCCCCACCTCCGCCGAGGCTTCAGCAGGCGTTGGTGCCCAACACCCATGGCCATGTTGGTGGGTTCGGTTTCTACCTGGTTTTGTAGGGGGAATAGTGAGGGCAAGCTGCTTCTTTGACCTTTTGGTTTCTCAGTTACCCAAAGCGAATCGACCTTCGAGGAACCCTTTTTTGGTATTTTAACCTTCTATTTGAGCCTTTGGGCAAGAGAGGTCTTATTTGATGTTTCTTTTCTACTTGTATTTCTTGTCCATGTGTTGCACCTCGTTCTTCTCAAAGACTATGAGTGCTTCTTTAATGGTGGCTTTCTGGAAAAAAGCACCCCAAAGCTACACCCATGATTCCCATAATACTCAGTGAAGCTTCCAATCCAGGCGAATGCAGCCGCTTTCTTTGGGCGAGTAAGACAAGCATAAACATCAGCCTCAGCTACCATTGGCATTTTGAGCTCTGAGAACCACAAATGATGACATTTCCAAGGGAGGCAGGTACAACGGGGGTGGGTAGTTGAGAGCCCCAGGATTCCTCACGGTTCCCTGTTCTTCTTTAGGGTTTTGTAGAGTTCCTAAGGGAGCCTTAGCCCCCCCCCCACCCGCAAAGAAGGGCAGAGGGATAGGATCCTCGATGCCCTTTGTCCTTAAAAAGGGGGTTTCCCTTCGTCAAATTCCAAAAACAGGTGCCTTTCCCTACACATGCTAAAGATCTCCGTTTTGCTGGAAATTTGATGGCCCTGGTCGACTACCAGGGCCATCTAATCCCAAAAGGACACCTATGCCTGGAAATGCAGGGAAGTGGGGTGGATCGATCCGGCAAGACGGCGGGTTCTCAGTTTGAAGATCACTTTTGCCGACTGGACTTTGTTTCGCAGGTGTCAAAGGGAGAGAAAAAACATGTGGCTTCCCTTTAAAATCCCGAACTTCAAGCCGATCCTGAAAAGGGTCTCCTCCACTCCACTAACATGGAACCCAGCAGGGGGTGGAACTCTTATGTAAAGGAACATGGTCCAAACCAGGACCACCAGGACCCCCTTTGCGCGACCCCCCCCCCACCCCAAGTCGACTCAAAAGCACCAGCGCCATGGTTGGGGTGCTGGATGTTACCTTCTGAAAATAGGTGAGCCTAAGCAATGGGTATATGAACAACGCTAAATGCTACAGAACTTGGTGGATCCCACTCACTAAAAGTTAGTCACTTTCAGCGGGGGATCTGAGGACAGCCCATATATATATATATATTATTAGAAGTGGGTTTATACATATATACATATATACATATAAAAAAGGAACGGTCAATGCTACAGAACGAGTGCCATGTGGGCGTGTTTCTGCCTCGCGCCGTTCCAGAGGCCTCGGCGGCGGAAGCGGAGGCGGAGAAGCGGCTCCTGCAGCAGCAGGCGCTGCAGCGTGGCAAGGGCCTCTACCAGGCGAGAAGAAAACGCGGCGTTGCCCGAGGCGGCCGCTCGTTTTTTTTTGTTTTTTTGGGGGGGGACCTCCCAAATGGTGGTTACCCAAAAAGAGATGGTTTTCCGTTGGCTTCCCTTTAAACTTCAAACCAACCCGTTTCAAGGTGTAGCAGGGGTACCCCAAAACAAAAAGAGAACACCCACAGCGCCTGCGAGGTGAACCCCCAGGTGACCTCATACCACAACCTGCGTGCTGCGCCCAGCGTCTTCTCCCCCATCGTGGGCACGCTGGAGGCCTATGATGTCATCGAGGTGTCACAGCCAGGCCCCCAGAGCCCAGAGACGCAGACTGTGGATGACTAGGTCCCCCTTGTACCCTTTTTTTTGTTCAATGGAGGGTTCCCCTACTAAGTTAGACTGCAGAAAAAAATGGTACCCGTATTCTAGCCTCTCTACTGGAGGACCTAGATGAGGTTCCGCGGACATGGACGTGTTGAATGTTTTTGCGTCCTGAGGTTCCGCTACAAAGATTGGGTTTCGGGGTTCCATGTCTAAAACTGCCGACTTGGTGGCACCCAGCCATCCGGTTCCTGAAAGTTGTTTTTTGGTTTATGTTTTTTTTCGTCGGTTGAGTGGTGGGGTTTCCGTATTGAACCCACGAAACAAGTTACCTAGTGCTCCAAAAGGTCATACATAAGGAGTCTTGACGATTGACACCTGTATTTGTTTAGTTAGGCCCTTACAACCACAAAAACTCATAAGATATAAAGGGTTGCTCAAACCCGTTGTTCGCTGAGTGAATGCAATCATCGCCTAGCGGTTGGGCTTCGGTATTTTCAGATTGCGCACCATCATGTGCATAGGAACCCTTCTTCCATTTGCTTAAGAAGATTTGTATGTTCCCTTGTTTGTTTTAAAGGGAATCTATCACTGCAGGATTGTTTTTGGTTTTTCCCCCAGGGGGCGTAAACAAATGGAAGACCGCCTCAAGAGGAAACCAGGCCATGTTTCAGGTAGCCCCCAAGCGGATGGTTTGGATGTGTGGTTTGGTTTTGAACCCCTCCCAACCAAAGAATCACCAATCCAAACCACCAATTCATCTAAAGAATTATCCCCCCTCACCAGTTCGTCACCCATGGTTCTTTTGAGAAAGCGCTGAACAAGCACGCGGCTGTCTATGTTCTCCAAAGATACGGATATTTGACATACATGTTTTGAGCATTCCAAGGTAGATGATGCAGCTCCTCGTGTTTTCGTCATCCCTTTTGCTTGCCCTCTTTTGGAGGTGTGCCATCTACTTTCACCCCTGCACAGCTGGAAAGCTACAGCCAATCTATGGATTCAAGATCTCATGGGAGTGGCGATCATCCACCCGGTTCCCAACTTGCAACTGTTTTTTTTCCATGTCAAAAAACAGAGGTACTGTGACCAACAATTCCGCTGTGGGGTGGTGCTGGTTGGTTCCGTTTGTGTTTTTGTTTTTGTGTGAGAGGGCGGGGCCCCCGCGCCAAAAGCCAAATCTGGGCTCCCTTAGCGATCAACATGCTGACCAGAATCAGTGGTGGGCCAAACAAGCAGAGGTGGGAGTGGGTAGTAGCAGGCAACCAAGTTGTTTGACTTGATGGCTAGAAAAGTCGGTTTTTGCCTTTGGCTTGTGTTGTTTTCACCCCCACCCTTTACTCCCCTGAAAGAGTCGATACGTCCATCAAACCCCTTCGGTTAGAACCCAATTCAATCAGAAGGTTTGTCCCGAATCTTTCGTAGGGTATAGCATTTGGGGCCTGTTGTTCACGTATCTACCTCGAGTCTCCATGACCCTAAAACAAGGGGTCTTCTAAACACTTGTTTCTCAGCTGAAAACTTGTTGTACTCTCCCTCCAAACATAGCACGCGGGTACCTGGATAGTCTTCCCTGCTTCCGTTTGCATACGAATATGTAATTTTCCACTTGTTGGTATTAAAGGGAAATTATCACTGCTGGAAGTATTTAACTTTCCACTTGTTGGTATCAAAGGGAAGTTATCACTGCTGGAAGTAGATTTTCCTCTTCAAACTTCCCCGTGTCAGTTGCCATGTAGGCGCTTCAAAGGAACCAACGGCGTAACGGGGGGGCGGAGGACCATTCAGCTGGCCAGCGGCGACGGCACGGAGTCTCTCGTCCTTTGGGAATGTTGGGAGGGTACCTTTCGGGCAGTCTACCAGCACCCTTTGTGAATTGGTACCCAAATGGCTCAAACAAGGGCACATCCGGACAAATTTTGACTGCCCTGATTGCTGACAAATGGACAGCCCTTGGAGGTTGCTGGTATGGTCCCTACCCCTTAAAACTCCAAGGATTGGGGAAGTTAACCTTTTACAGACAAAGTTGCCCATGTTACCCAAAAAATTGAGAAAAGTTTGGTGTTTTCAAGAGGTAAGGGCCCCTTTCATTTTTATTTTTTTTTCGGGGGGGGGTTACCTTTGATGGTTTCGATTGAATCGGTCCTGGAAAATTTTGAAGCCCCGTCTTTTGTAGGTGAACAATTGGTCCCCCAGCAAGTGCCCCTTTCTTCCCGTTTCTTTCTTGGGAGGGTTCGGGACCCGTATTCTAGCCTCTCGAAGCTGGAGGGCCTAGAGTCAAAAGGGTCCCTTTTTTGTTTGGGGCGGTACTTTTGAGGTACCCTTTCACGGTTTTTTTTGGGAGGTGCCTTTTATTTTTTGACGAAAGGGCCCAGCCCCGAGCTTCCCACATGAACCAGGGATGAAGGCCGAATTGTCCGGACTGTCCTCTTGGGAAACCTGCTTGGAGCAACTTACTTTGGCAGGCAACTGAATTGGGCCACAGGGGGGAGTCTTCGGGGCGGTGGTTTGTTGCAAACCCAAAACTGCTTGGGACCAAAGCTCCTCTCTGTCGCCCAAAGCAAATCGACCATTCCACGCCCGAAAAGGTGACCTCCTTCTGTTTCCAGCTCACTGATGAAGCCCAAAGCTCTGCAAGGTCCCCCGCCAGTGCCCTTTTATCCTTTTTTGGGGGATTCCCCTTCTAAAATAGACTACAGAAAAAGCTCTGCTGGAGAACCTAGTCTGCGATATTCGTATTGAGGTGTTAGGATCAGAAGCCCCTTTTTGAGGCTTCTGAAGTGCCTACCTTTGAGGGGATTCTTCGCTGGGTTGCCGGGTGCCGGGTTGCCGAGCTGGGCATCGATGGTTGTCTATCTCTACCTCTTCGATGTTCGCAGTCCCCTTTTAATCCAGCTGATTTTGCGGCGAGGCAAATTTGTTTGCGACCTCAGTAGCAGTGTGGCGACCTCACCCATGAGAATTGTCTTTCCTGGTGGTCAATTTTGTTCAGGTTGGTGACAGCCAGCCCCTGGGTGTACGCAGCAATTGAACACTCCCGTAAGCTGCGGCGTCCTAGCTAAGTCTTGATTGAATCCTTAATGTCCAAACTGGACTCATCAACTTTGCTGTTGTTGGCATGTGTGTGTGTGTGTTTCTTAAGGCTGCTTTTTTTTGCTACCATACCAAGGGTTGGAAAGTCAAGCTTCTGGATCACGAGGGTGGTTCCCCGCTTGAGCAATAGGATGCTCCAGTAGTCTGAACCACTTGGATGTTCGACCAAGTTAGTAAGTGGTTAGCCACCTGGGTTAGTTATTTTCCACTGTTAGCAAGGTTAACTTCACTTGGGGGACTTGTAAGCGAGTCATAACTCAGGCTACTATCACTAGTAACTCGGCCAAACACCCAAGCAGGGCTTCTGCTTTATCCGACGTCATCATTTCTTCGGATGCTTATGCCGCATTAGGGAGCTCCCCTGAACCCATCAAAGAGGGGACCCCCGAAAACCCTATTGGCCCCAATAGGCCTTATTGGTTGCTATTAGCCCCAATCCCAATAGGGGGGTGGACAACCATACAAAATTCTAGAATTCTTGGTTTGGTGCTTGGGTTTCCTTGTATTCAACCCACTGGAAGCTATTGGTGACCTGCCTTCACCAACCAGCACAGTTGTCCTTTTTCGGCTATTTTTAGAAATCGATGGCACTGGTTTAGAGTGGTTTTATGCCAACTATGTACCAGGGACACCCGGTCTATTTCACCGAAAGGACAGACCCACCCGGCGATTTTCCCAGATGTGAACAAGGAACAGCCCAGTTATGTGTCAAAGCAGAACCCCGTTTCAGGTGCCTGATTTATGGTTCTACACGTTGATTCCCCATTATTTTCAGCCATCGTTCTTTTCATCAACCGATCGCAATTTCCCAAGGTTTTTTGGTGGTTTGCGGATCCCTGGAAAGAATGGACATGGAAGCTACCCCTAGACATATGTTTCTTTAGACATTGGTAACTGTTCTGTGATTTTCCAACCAATGGTCATCCCATGTAAAGGACCCTTTGATCAAGTGTGGCTCAAAATTAAGCAGCAGGGGCAAACCGCCGGTCTTGGTACCCATGTTTCCACTTACCGATCGGGCAACCCATTTCGGACTTCCGGAATTTTTCGAGCCACCCCAAATGTGTCACAATCAAAAACCCGGGGTTTTATTTTCCCTGGTTTCAAAGGGAATCTGGCAATACTGGAATCAAAACCCGGGGTTTGTTGAGTTCGCCACAGCCATGGGACCTTAGCGATTTCCCCCCCCTCCGCGCGCGCGAGGTTCTGGGCGCAGCTGTTGCGGCGCTCCGCGGGGCCGGCGCCCTGGGCGCTGCGCCCTGGTCGCAAGGAAGCTTTAATCGGATCGCAGCGCGGGCGCGGGGGCCGACAAAAAGCCGTTGGCGCGGTGCTGGTGTGTGTGTGTGTGTGTGTTTTGGTGGTTTTCTTATGAGTGTTGTATGGTGCGTATTGCTTGTATATTTTGTTTTGGTTCTTTCTTTCTTTGTTCTGTTTGCTTGTTTGTTTGGTTACTTTTATTGTTTTGTTTGTTTGTTTCTTGGTTTGTTTGTTTCTTGGTTTGTTTGTTTCTTGGTTTGTTTCTTTGTTTTGCTTTGTTTGTTTTCCTCGTATCGGGCTGGAGTCAGGTGCTTGGGCATGGTGTAGTTTGGGAGGCTTGGGCCCCACTTTTCGGGCTCCGGCCAAGCTGGAGGTTGACCCACTAAGCAGAAGCTGGGTTGTGGTGGATCACTCGGGGGTTTATCCAACCACTTCTGTGGTACACTCACTTCCTGAGTTGATGGACTTTAAACTTTTTGGTTTTGGACCATTTTAGTGGAAAATAAGAAGTTCGGACTTTTTTTGGCCAGTCAACTTGGGAAGTGAGTACAAGGGAATCCCCCCTGTAGATTGGGGGGGGGAGTGTTTGGGAGGCTCTTTTTGTTGTATCGCAGAAGTGGATTCCATTTCCCACAGCCCTGCTCCTGGTTGATTTGATCTGTTGCTAGGGGGAATTCCTGCACTTTCAGGAAGAACACCGCGCATTGATTCGGGGTCAACCAAATCGCCTCGACAGTAGGCTCCAAGAATTCACAGACCACATGGGACCTCAAAGACCAATCTCTTTAAGGTCAGCTAAGGAGATGATGGCTGGGGTTCAGATGATGGCTGGGGTTCTTTGGGTGGTTTAGAATGCACATCCATGAAGGCTCTTTTTAATTTATATGCTTTTTGTGTGACCTAAGCTGACCAGTGTTGCTTGTGACCCCATCAACACGACTTGCTTGGTTTGCTTGCTTGGTTTGCTTGCTTGCTTGCTTGCTTGCTTGCTTGCTTGCTTGCTTGCTTGCTTGCTTGCTTGCTTGCTTGCTAGTTTGTTTGCCAGCGCCCCCAATCGCTGCTTTTTTCATGCCCAGAGTCACAAGCAATTACTGTCCAAGAAGCAGTTGTTGGCGGGTGATGATGTGTGTCTACTTGTTTGTTTGATTTGTTTGCTTGTTTGTTTGCTTGTTTTATTTGCTTTGCTTTGCTTTGTTTTGTTTTGTTTTGTTTGCATTTTTTTGTTTTCCACGCCTTCCCATTGGCATGAGTTGAAACCGCCCGGTGGCACCGACACACGCGTCAGGATTGCGGCCCTCCATGGAATTTCTTTGGGACGGTGTCGATTCCGACCAGTCGCTTGGTGGTTCCCAGGCCTCCGGTTCCTGAAAGCCTTAGGTAATTAGTTAGTTTGGTGCATTTGCAAAGGGCTGTTAGAACTGAACAACTTTTTGCCAACTAATGGGTTTTCCACTAAACCACTAAAAGTTGAAAACTTTCAGCAGGGGAGCAGAAAGTAACCGAGGTTAGTTGTTTGTAGTTGACTTAGCGGTTGGGTTTCCATTCAACCCACTCCGAAGGCAAAAGACTTGTAGATCTGAGGACAGCCCAGTTCAACCAAATGTGATCCTTTTGCTTGAGGTAGAGGAAATTACACGTGTGTGTGTGTGTGTGTGCGTGTAGGAAAGTTATCGAAGTTTGACAAGTCTTCTTTGGCTTTGCAAAGTCATTGCTTCTGAGTGAGCGGGGAGAACAAATCCATACATACACATACGCACGCTAGTTTCTGGTTGGTTGCTTTCTTGTTTATGTGTTTATTTGCTTGTTTCTTTTATTTATTGCTTGTTTGTTCGTTTGTTTGTTTGTTGGTTGGTTGGTTGGTTGGTTGGTTGATTGTTTGTTTGGTTGTGTGTTTTTTGTTTGTTTGTTTGGTTGGTTGCTTGGTTGCTTGCTTGTATTTTTTTCTTGTGTGTTGCCTTTGGCTGTGTGTTTTGTTATTTGTTGTTTGTTTTGATGTTGTTTGTTTTCTCTTGCGATGTGTGTGTGTGTGTGTTGGTTTTCGTGAGCTTCCCCTGCACCATCAAACAATTATCCAAAAATATCGTTGGTTGGTTGCTTTCTGTTTGTTTGTTTGTTTGTTTGTTTGTTTGTTTCTTTGTTTTTGTTGGTTTTGTGTTTGTTTGTTTGTTTTTTGTTCGTTTCGGTTGCCTGCTGTTTCGTTTGTTGTTAGTGGTTGCCTGCTTTTCGTTTTGGTTGCCTTTGGTTGTGTGTTTGTTGTTAGTTTCGTTGGTTTTTGTTGCGATGTGTGTGTGTGTGTGTTGGTTTTGGTGCTGTTTGGTTTGGCGCCTGCGGCCAAAACGCGTCCTTGACAGATTCTCCGAGGATCGCCGACGACGGCGTGTACCTGCGGAAGCTGCTTCGGCCGGGCGATGCCTGGGAAAAGCCCAAGGCCGGGGGAGCCGTTGGGGAGCCTTTGAGGAGCCTGTGAGGATTGGATTCTCACTTCCTGAGTTCATGAACTTTAATGTTGGACCTTGTTTACTGAGGGCCGGGTCGTGTTCAAGCCAGGGGAAGCTTGACAGAATTCAGACTACCGATATTAAACCAGGTGCACCATTAAACTTTTTGGGTTTGGACCATTTTAGTGGTAAATACAAAGTTTGGACTTTTTTTGGGCCACTCAGCCAGTGAGGATTTGAAGCCCTGAGCTTTTGAGGTTCGACCGCCATTTGCTGAAGTTATTTTTTTGTTATTTTCCCTTGTTGGTTTTAAAAGGAATGTATCACTACTGGAAATATGTTTTTCCTGGGGGTCTTAACCAAACGGAAGTTGAGGTTTGAGGTTTGAGGTTTGAGCCGTTGGTTTGGTTCTAGAGGCTAAGCCTCCCTTCCACGAACATGGCTGTGGGAGGGTACCTGAAAGCTCATTTTTTTCCTGTTGCAGGGAGTTTTGTGGTGCCATGTTAGGAGTGAGGCTAGCCCCCCATATTGTCCTCTACTTGCAGAAGTGCAGGATGTCTCTTCTGGAGTAGACCTAGGATACATTTTGCATTTTACCAGTAACTCCAAGTGAAGCAAGCAATAGCATATACATTCTATAAGCAGGGAATGAGCGCCAGAGGTAGCTTTTGGTTTGAGGCTTGGATTCGGGGGACTTGAAGCCATGGCAGAGAGGCTAGCCCTAGTTGCTTCTAGCGCTTTTTTTCGCTGGCCAGATCTCTGATGATTGATTTCGTTTCCTGCTGCTGTATTCATCATGGGGTTTAGGGGGGAGGGAGGGGGGGAAGGAATCCGTTCAGGGGTGGTCCAAGAAAGTTCCCTCAGGCTTGCTAAGGAACACTAAGGCTTCCCTAGAAAACCCTAAGAACGCCATAGGCCACTCAACCACCCACCCCCCTTGTACCTGCTCCCCCTTAAGGATTCCAGTTTGCATATTCTTCAACCCCCACTCGCATAATGGCAACCTAGGTAAAGAATGGTGGTTGTATCAACTCCCTTTGTTCTAGTGGTTCGAGTCTCAGGCTTCAGCTACTTGAAGACGGTTCGCAGTTATGTTGCAGTCCTTTCCCGAAAAGGATCATTTCTTCCACACAACTTGATGCTTCCCAGCCATCCCCTTAGCTTTTTAGCTTTTTTGGGTTTCGTGGCAGTTTCCATTTAAAACATTGAACTCCATTTAACCGACTAGGGATCTGAGGGCTGCCCAGAAAAGAGTGGACCAGCCCCCTGTTGAAAGGCACCCCGCAAGATCCTTACCTTGTACCTTGCTTCCAATGCTTAAGTTTTTTTTTTTTTTTTTTTTTTTTTAAATAATAAATAAAAATAAAACATAAGAATAACATATTGTCCCCTGTTAGTTCTAAAGGGAATCGATTTCACAACTGGAATATGTTTTCCTTTTTTTTTTCCGGAGGACGAAAAAGCAAATGGAAGCTTGGGTTACATCAGGAACCGGCCCCCTTTCTAGTGGTTGTGCAATAGGGATCATGGAAAATGGGATTGGCCACTCCATGAGGCTCTCCTTCTTACTTTCCGAGGGTCTTTGGGATAGGGTCCCCGAGTATACATTGGGGTGTGTGCTAGAATGAAGAGAGACCCTCCAAATTGCCTTTCCCTTGAACAAATCTCATTTGTACCCCCAAGAAGGAAAGGGTACCCCCAAACAAGAGACTTACCTCTTAAAAACACAACTTTCAACTTTTTGGGTAACATGGGCTATATGTTTGTAAAAGATTAACTTCCCCAGGGCTTGGAGTTTTAAGGGGTAAGGAGAAGTACAAAACAGAACAAGCTTGACCCATCACCTGGGCCAATGTGAACTGAGCTGCTCTTGGGCTGATGCAAGGGGGGCTGCGCACCAGCCCTTTTTGTTGGAGCCTGTTAAACCAAAAGGAAGCAACCCATGTTGGTTCGCAAAAGCGGGTCCGACTGTCCCCACCCCCAGTACAAATGAAATGTCCTCCTTTGTTTTTGGACATACTAGATATGGCAGTGGGGGACCCCCAACCCCCTCCCGCTTAAGGCAGGGGGGAGATAATAGAAAAAGCTGAACTTTGGTACGACTTTCTTATGGGTTATCTAAAGACACTCGATGACTCAATCCTGAAGGTTGCAGAACCCCATTGTTAGGGTGGGGGGGATTGAGGAAGCAAAACGAAGAGCAGAACAAAAAATCAAATCAAGAGGACCAGGGCCCCCAGGGCTTACGGCTTGCCAGGAGCTTACCTTCCCCAGCCTTGTTTTCCACTCACCAGGCAAATATATATATATATATATATGTATATCTATATTTGCTGGGGTCCGATTTTTCCAGCCTAGTTACGAGGTGGTTTCCATGTTTGCCGGGGCTTTTCATCAAAGATCTGGGAGCTCAGGACTGGGTGCCGGCGGCAGAGGAGGAGGAGCCCTATGGCGAAGCCGCCCAATCGGCACGGAGCCGAGCCAACGAGCTTGCTGACAAGCGACCTGAGCATTTCTCACTCCCTGAGTTCATGGACTTGAGGCGTTGGTGGCCATTTTAGTGCTAGCACAAAAACAGTTTAAACCTTTTATGGACTTGAGCCACTTTTCGGGCGGTTGGTGGCCATTTTGGAGCCGGACAAAAACAGTGTGAAGACTTTTATGGACTTTAGCCACTTTTCGGGTTTGGTGGCCATTTTCCAGTCTCATTGGATGTGGGACCCTGGAGGTCTTAGAGACACCAAACTCGAATCCAAAGGGTTCGGACCATGTCCCGGGTCTTTGCGTTGGGACTCGCTTTTCTTCGGCGGATCTTGTTGGAAGAGCCTGAAGGACGTCGGATGGGTTCCTTGAGGAACGTTTGACTTTGCATTTCAGGGAGCAAACAGAATCCTGCACTTGGCTTTCGAAGAATCAGATACCCTCCCGTGAAGAATCTTCACAGCCTGCCAAAGCAAAGCACGAAGACAGGGGGCCTTGTGAATTCCGTTGATAACATTCGGCACCATAACTAGACTCGCCTTCCTCCCGATGAAACTGAGGGAAAGCTCTGTAGGAAGCGTAATGTTTATGTTTCAGACATGTTTTGTAAACAACGATTGCGCACACAGATGTTTTTTCCGCAATCTTCCCCGGGCTTGATTCGGGTCCCGCACGTGAAGAACCATTTCTGGGGATGTTTGATCTTGCTGGTGCTCAGTAGGGAATGACCCAGGCTGTTGGGCATGAATCTAGGGATTCCCCGAAAGACAACCATAGGGCATGGTTTAAAATTAGGGATGGGTTAGCACATGTGGCAGTGAGCCACATTTAGACCACATATCAAAGCATGACACCGTCTCATTCGAACGCTGGCAAAGGCACCCCGCTATCAAACCTCTTAACTTCAAGCTGCCCCTACCCAAGCGTGCCATGCCCCGTGAGGGATGCCGCAAACTTTAACTTCTTCTACGCCTGCAATCACCATAAGCGTCCTTGGTCAGTTTGGCTAGGGGTTTTGGCTGCCTTTCTTTGCTTTGGGTTCGGTTGTAATCATTTGCCAGTGCCATGCATGCCTTCCAAATGACACCAAGGGTATCTACTGCAGCCATCAAGCGCGACTTGCTTAGCCAAGGTGAACTTCCTGCTAGCTGCTGCACTAGGCGCGACCAACTTGCGTTGCTGTCAACGTGTTGCTTGAAGCATGTCGGGGAGTTCCGAGATGCCTGAGTTTGAATGACAGAGCGTTTTCTTCTGGGTGCTTGTTTGGCGAACTGTCTCCGTGTGTGCGTGTGTGTGTGTGTGTGGTGTGTGTGTGTGTGTGTGTGTGTGTGGTGTGCGTGCGCGTGTGCGTGTCTGCGTGTCTGCGTGTCTGCGTGTCTGCGTGTCTGCGTGTCTGCGTGTCTGCGTGTCTGCGTGTCTGTCTGAGTGTGTGTGTGTGTGTATGTGTGTGTGTGTGTTTGTGTTTCTGTTTGTGTTTTTTGTGTGTTTGTGTGTTTGTGTATGTGTGCTTGTGTGTTTGTGTGTTTGTGTGCTTGTGTGCTTGTGTGTTTGTGTGTTTGTGTGTTTGTGTGTTAGTGTGCGTGTGCGTTTGTGTGTGTGTGTGTGATTGTTTGTTTTTTTGTGTGTGTGTGATTGTTTGTGTGTGTGTGTGCGTGGGTCTGTGTGTGTATGTGTGCGTGTGGGCGTGTGGGCGTGTGGGTGCGTGTGGGTGCGCGTGGGTGCGTGTGGGTGCGTGTGGGTGTGTGTGTGTGTGTGTGCGTGGGGGTGCGTGTGGGTGCGTGTGGGTGCGTGTGGGTGTGTGTGTGTGTGTGTGGGTGTGTGTGTGTGTGTGTGTGTTTGCGTCTGTGTCTGTGTCTGTGTCTGTGTCTGTGTCTGCATGTGCGTGTGCGTGTGCCTGTGCGTGCGCGTGCGCGTGCTGCGTTTTGCCTGTTGCCTGTTGCGTGTATTCCCTGTTGCGTGTTGCGTGGAGCGTGTTGCGCCTTGCGCGTTGCGAGTTGCGCCTGGCGCGTTGTGCGTGGCGCGTGGCGCGTGGCGCGTGGCGTGGCGTGCGGCGTGCGGCGTGCGGTGTGCGCGCTCGCGTGCGTGTGTGCGTGGGTGCGTGTGTGCGTGCTTGCGTGTGTGTGTGTGTGTGTGTGTGTGTGTGTGTGTGTGCGTGGGTGTGCGTGCGTGCATGTGTGCGTGCGTGCGTGCGTGCGTGCGTGCGTGCGTGCGTGCGTGCGTGCGTGCGTGCGTGCGTGCGTGCGTGCGTGCGTGCGTGCGTGCGTGCGTGCGTGCGTGCGTGCGTGCGTGCGTGCGTGCGTGCGTGCGTGCGTGCGTGCGTGCGTGCGTGTGTGTG